AGTTTTGTCTGTCCCGAACCTCATTATAGATTCCTTAGTTGGCCTTATGCCGTGTATTGTTTCACAGCTCTTCGGATTTCTTCAGAGCCCTTTTTTAGTGTTTTTTTTTTTTATTTCCTCACTAAGAGATTTTGGTTTTGCATTTTTGCATTTTTTGACTATTCAGCTCTTAAATCAGTTCAATCAAAGCATTTTTCGTTCTACTTTGTTATTTTCTCCTTTCCTCGCTAAGAGAGTTTTTTGTTTGCTTCCCGTCAATTTGTATTGCCCTGCTCTATTAGTTTAGCCAGAGCATTTCCCCATTCATCCCTCTTGGGAGGAGTTTTTGTTTCCAGGTATTTCCCTGTGTTTTTTTGTTGGTAAATAAAAGCTTGTCAGCTGAACCGCTACTCTGCGTCCGAGTTCTCTGCGTGAACAGAAAATGTTAAATTAGTATGTTTTCATATTGACAATATTCTGAACTGAAATAACTTTGGTGATTGGCTAACCTTTTTATTAAGCACTATCATCGGGTTAACATAAGGCAATGTAAATAAAGTTAAGTATCGCAAATACATTGTACTGTATGTAACATTAGTAAATTAGCTCATTTTACTTTACTGATATTACAGAACACACTGCGGAACCAAAAACGGGAATTAAACATAGGCAGTTTGGGCATAAATCACTGACGTGTTAAAAACGCTGAACAATTGTGGTAGCGGTAACAGTGACATTACGCGTGTGATATCCCAGGAAAAACATTGAAACCAAATAAAACATCACCCAATGGATTCATCTCATCACATCCCATGTCTGTTAATCTAAGCTGTATGATAATGTTGTATTAACTTAGTTTTGACATTTACTTAAAGCTTAGTGAAAGCATGTAGCATGTGTTAAAAGATTTTCACTGATATGTTAACACATGTGTGGCACACACAAATTGGTAATACTTCAGTCTGGAAGACTGGACAGGCTGTGCCGTTCCCTGGTGGCTTCGTCTCCCTGGGGGGCGCGGCCAGCTGGCTGGTACTACCCAACCCCGCCCCTAATCAACCAGATGTGGGTGTCGTTACCGTAAACAAATTGCATCGGGGCAGGCAAACATTAAAAACTGTTCTCCTCTCTTATGCTGTCAGTTGTCATTTCAGCACGCACCAAAGGTGACCTGCCACCACCCCTGCCACCTCCAATCTACAGCAGAACCTGGCATAGCAGGAGATTGGAGCAACCGGCTCTACCACCACCACCAGTGTCTGGACTTCCAAAGAGGGTATATGCCTCATCTCGGCATCCCAGCCCCTGGTCTATCCTACGGCAGGATGGAGTCCAAGCCTCAACAACATGGCAATATAAATATTTATGCCTGATAAAGCATTGTTAAAATTTCAACAAGTCTCTCCGGATTGAAATGTGTTTATTCTCAATGCTATAGACTCGATGCTATAGACTTTTCCAGAAGTTTAAAACATGTTTCCAAATGTTTTTTAAGGTTTGTTTTAAATTCCCTCGGCAGTCCTCTTATTATAGTCTGACACGAATGCAGAAAACCACCAGACATCAAGTGTTTGAGTGACTGGGGTTTAAATACTGAGATCAGTAGGTGCAGACGAGTGGGCACGTCAGAGTGATTGAGCTGATGGTGAACTGATGGTGTGGCTGAACAAGCTAATTATGTGAGTGAGGCAGAGTGTATGGGAGCAGAACTGTGACATCCAGTAAACAAGCAGTGACATTCTAACATATACTGCATATAGAGAAATCTGTGACCATTCTGCCTGGTCAGGCAGGCCTCTGTCTTGAGGTCTGTCATTAAAATAAAGCTGAATAAATGGTTTCAGTTAAAATCAAAAACTGTTTATTGGATGACAAAACCAAACGCAAAACCCACTAAAGTCAATGTCTGAATCACAAGCAAAAATATTCAATCAAATAGATTCTCCACGTGGCCAAACCCGACATTCTGGCATTGTCCAGCCTAGCTAAAATAACCCCGAAGAGACTATCGATATTTTCAAAGTCCAGTGTAATATTTTGGAGTAATTCCGCCACTCAGGGATTGGTTGAGACCGCGACCAGAATCTCCTTACCTCCACAAACCACACCGCCATACCTATTTAGTGCGTTGTCACCTAAAGCTATTAGTATGGAGTATTTGTACTCACATGGAAGCCTCACAGGTTTCCATGAATTATAGTTCTATCTGGGACCATTTTCCTGCTTCCTGCCATAGCCCTGCAGACAATTGCTGCTGCTATAATAACTATTATTTTAAATCACATGTTTGCTGATTCTGTCATCATAAACCAACATTACCCTTTCCTAAAGTATTTGTCCTTTCCCACCCCACATGTTTCTGTGGAAAGTGGTTATATCTGGTGGTTGTTGTCCCTGCAGTGGTCCTGCCATACAACTAGCTTACTCCTCACTAATTCGCAATTTTGGGCTATAGAAAATTATGTGAATTGAATTGAATGGAAGATGCCTTATAAAACAGGCACGGTGGTGTGGTGGTTAGCTCTGTCGCCTCGCCGCAAGAAGGTCCTGGGTTTGAGGCATGTTCTCCCTGTGTCTGCGTGGGATCTCTCCGGGTTCTCTAGCTTCCTCCCACTCTCCAAGGACATGCACTGGGGATCAGGTTATTTGGGGACTCTAAATTAGCCCGTAGGTGTGTGAATGTGAGTGTGAATGGTTGTATGTTTCTGTGTTAGCCCTCCGATTGGCTGGCGACCAATCCAGGGTGTACCCTGTCTCTCACTTGGTTGGGATGGACTCCAGCCCGACCCAGCCCACTCCAGAGCGACCCTGTGTGCCGAATAAGCGGTTTGACGATTGATGGATGGATGGATGGATGCCTTATAAAACATTACCAAACCTAAAGGTGTTCATTAAAAATTCTTCACAATACACTACAATTACAGATGTTGTTATGCCTCGGTCTCCTATCAACAACGAATAATGTTGTCCTCGTCCTTGGATAAGCTGTGGAAAACTCCAAATGCTGTAGCGTTATTCTGATAACTCAAAGTTATGTATGATGTTTGGTTGATGGTTGTCTCAAGAAGCAAGGGGCCTAGTGAGGGGTTGTCTTTCCCAGGTGGTACTGCGGAACACGTAATGAAACTCCCCACAACTTAATTTGTTAAACCCTTATAATTGAAGGTGTAATCCTTGCTACTGAAATTGGGTGTAATAATGCAGCAAAACAAGACACAAGACAAATCTGTGTTAGCAGACAATGAAAAGCTTTTATTTGAGCATATCAAGAAATTGCTTTGCAAAAGAAATAAAATGAGAAACTTTGATTATTAATGAATCCACTCAAAAAAATGTGAGTACTTTATATTTTGATTTGAAAATCAAACGGGAACAGGATGGAAACAGCTGTGCTAACAACATTTGTTCAGTGTTGTGTGTTACACAATCTGCACTCACAAGAGGTGATGTGCTTGTATGTGAACGTTTTTTCCTCTCTTCTGTTGGTCACAGGGTGGTAGCATATCGCGGAGAGCGTTTTCGTCTCCGAGATCTTCTCCTGACAGCAATTGTTCTGTGCATGCACCCTCAGTTTACGGCCTACCTAAAGTTGTGAGTATCAACACTAAAAACCTTAAACTGTGTATCAAAACTATTGGGGAAGATCAGTGACAAGAGTATTTCCTCTTACCTCAAGCCAGAGCCACATTCGCCCATACAGACAGGTACGTGCAATATGGTGTGACAGTCGGTAGTGCTGACCTCAACATCACCAAACACGGGCGCACAGGTGTTGTTACCTGGAGTGAGAGAATGCTAATAAGAGAGGCAGTTTGTTGATTGGAAGTAAAGCATCTATGAATCAATCTTTTACAAATTGAAATTGTAAATGACTAATACTTTTGTCAAACTACTTTTTGAACTTTACTTACATGTTTTGCAGCATTTGTGGTCGTCCCATATCAATCTGGACTGGGGATTACAAAATAAGATCTCAAGGTTAAATGTTGGTTGTTGTAGCTATTGTTTAGTACCTAACTATTAGTTACCTATAGTGTTTCAGCTTTTAAAGTGTAAATATTTTATTTCTGTAGTCAGGAGTACATATATATATATATATATATATATATATATATATATATATATGTATTGGGTGTGCGTATATATACATATTGTGGATGGAAAAATCTCTTCTTTTTTATTTGGGTATCCAGCCATTAACCCTTTTTAATACCAATATTTACCGACATAGACGTAATCCAAAATAATTTGACAAAACTAGTAAATACAACTGTTTTTTCCCTCATTATAAAACAATGCTCAGGAGAAAAGTAATTGCAGTAATGCTTGAGGTAATTCTGTCGAATAAGAGGAGGGGTTGTGCAGTACCGGATGACAATGGACTCTGGGACATTCTCGGATTGTAGTTTGAATTCCCTCCAAAGTGCAATAATATGATTGACAGGGACTGGAGTCATCTGACCAAGATTCTCCCAACTAAACACAAAAATGATATCACAACAAGACTCTATACAGTACAAAGATTCATTTCAAATGAGAGAGGGAAACAAAACCGCTTTCATTCGCCAGAGACACAGACTATAAAAGATCAACGTACTTGGTATGTTCTTCTATCAAATTTGCATGTCTTCTTAACTGAAAGAGAATAACGATGTGCGATTATTTCAAATATTCACGTGGGAAAAAAGATGTCTCAAAAAATTCCCACAATTGCTTACCACACATCTGTTCACCACAGCAAGGTTTGTTTACCAGTACAGAGTCTGGGCCACAACTCGGTTCTGTCTAAAGAGGTTTAAGATGACACTCCTCTTTTCCAGTCTCTATGTTACATTTACAAATGTGACAGCCGGACTCCCAGACGTCACCAGGCTGAAACGCAGACATACTTTTTAAAGCTAAAGTCCCATCGGGGATTATACTGTTTTATCACTGATGAGACAATGATACTCTTTTGCAGCGCGCTTCAGTATAGAGCAACGGTCAATATCGCAGGAACCATACACGCAGATCTTCTTTTCACGCCTTAAGTGCTTGATGCATTTTGAAAAGGCTCTGAGGAAACAAAGACAAACAGACGTGGTTAAACACCATCAAGATGAGTATGTATTTGCTAAGTTGCTCCTAACAGGTTGCAGCGTCACTTGTTGGCAGTTTCTTGGAGGTTGCTAAGGTGTTACAGGTGAATGCTTACATCAGTAACTACGGTATTACAAGTGAAACTGGCTGGTTTCCACTACATGTTTGCATTAGTCACAAAGAGAGCTCTTAAGTAAAGGCTACATATTGGGCCTTGAGCATATGACATGTATTGTGACAAAAACAGTCATCCTCAATTCTCTGGAGGTGTGTGTAGCTCACGGGTGGTCCAGCACCACACATAGAGTGCTCGAAGGGCAGGGGAGAGAAGTGGTTGTTGTAGGGGGTACCGCAGTCGTCTGGTCACATTCTACATCTCTTGGTAAAAGAGCACAGGCCGGTTTGGGCCCGTGACGTTTCACCCAGCTATAAGCCGTCTTATTACAGCAGCTGTTGCCCTCCTTTTTTTTCCCTCCTTTACGGATACATGGATACATGATCCAACACCACACACACCTGGAGAAAGGACAGACCCAATCCAATGACTAATGTACAAAAGTACATTTTAATTTATATAACCCCCCTATGTGTAGCCACTTTTAGCACATTGAAAGAGAGTGGCTGGCAAAAAAAGGGTGTTAAATGTGAGCAGGGAAAGTTTATCACAGTGGACATTGGACACTGTTTTAAATTGACAGACTATAATATAAGAATATATATATATATATATATATATATATATATATATATATATATATATATATATATATATATATATATACACACATATAGAAGTGTGTATTGTATTAAACAAATCAACATGCAGTTAACCATACTAGAAGGTAGTCCTTTTCAATACACTACCCACCACATTGTCCCTGGGTTTTTCCGTGGAAGTACTCCATGACCAAACTGACCACCAAGTTATGGGACTGACTGAGGGAGACATAAGAGCGGATGTCTGGCATGTAGATTGTCACCGTGTCCATTGTGCTCTCAAACCTAAACCCAGCCGCCTGCAATGGTGGCTGTACAACCACGCCGTTCAGAGTGACCTAGGGTAGATTAAATCATTATCAAACCAGATTCCTTATATAGTAAAGCCTTGAAGTAAAAACACACTCACAGGAGATGATTGTATTACCAAAATAGCCAATATATATTGGGACATGACATATTACGAATGAAGTTTTATTTTATGCCACCTTTACTACAGAGAAGTCTGGATGGATACTCAGTACAGCTTTAGATCCCTGATATTTCACGGTGATGCTTTTTGCACAGGAGCGATGCCTGCCTGCTACACAGTTTTCGTTTTCCACAGAAATGTACAAACTAGGATGTGATGATATCTCCTTCACCAGGATGTTGGTGCATTCTGTCAGGAAATCAAACTTAACTGTCAGGGTTGAGGGTGGAAGGCAGGACTCAAATGCAGACTTCTCCAAACAAAACACTTTAATAGTCAAAAGGTCAAAAACACAGGAACTGGGGGGAAAAGCACACAGGCAAGAAACTACAGAGATCCAGGACGAAAGACAAGAACAAGCGTGGCAAAAGACAATGACGCGACAAGTGACACAAGAGACACACGGCTTAAATACACAAGGGAGGTGCAGGTGATTGGACACAGGTGGAAACTATTAAGACAATCACAGGGGATGACGGGACAAGACAGGAAGTGAAGTTACCCGGGGACACAAGTGGCAGAAAACTACAAAATATAACATGAAGTGAACCACACCGTGACACTTAACACCTTGGAAAGTGGTGTAGTGTGAGTCCCCATATATCTCACAACAACCTAGAAAGATAAAGGGGTTTTAGTAGATATGAAAACAAAGCAAAAAGAATATTTGGGACACTGGATTAAACTTGGTGATCTGTTAACTATTACTTTAGTTTCATCACTTTCAAAACATTCCCATCCTGTCTTAACTGTATTTGTCTTTGGTGCTGATAATGAACAGTTATCGCTCTCAAAAAATATGCTGACCATAATAAACATTACTTGCAAAATGTTAGCATTCTAACTTTTTCATTGTGAGCATGTTGGCATGCTGGCTTTGGTATTTAGGTCCAATCCATATCCTTAAGTACAGCCTCACAGAGCGTGGTATTTAAAGGAAAGATACGTGTAAGGCATGGGTCTGACGTTTTTCAGGCCAAGGTCCACCAAACTGGGACCCCCTATTCTACAGAGTTTGGTCTGCTATCTTTTATTTTTGAGTCTTGCGCTCTTTAGACGTGAGCATGAATGCGATCTGATTGGCTAGTGCCTGTGCTGTCGTATTTGCATGAATCGTGCTGTGAATGAATCAATGCCCAGCGTAAGAGAGCTCCTGTGGGTAGCTGAATGTGTGTATTGACCTTTGACCTCACCTCTGGTGTAGGGAATTGGGAGGAAGATAATTGATACTGTTCTAAGGAGCAGCACTTGATGTACTCTGATGTAAAAAACCTTTACTAATCACACAAAATAAACAATCACAAGTAAATATATAGAGGCATAGAGGCCATGTTAAACACTAAATAATGAAAAAGCATACACAAGGCGCACAAGGATAAACTTACAGTCACACTTAAGTGTTTCACAGCATCCATCCAAGACTTTTGTGAACTTGTCTCTGGGGCAGTCCGGAAATTCCATCACTGGGCAAACCACTGGACTCAACTCTATCAGCCCACCTATACAGGTCTTTTTGAAGCAATCTTCTGTCCAGGTCTCACCGCAGTGCCAGATTTTATAATTCTTCGGGTCAAAACACTGGCAATCTGGTGATTTGATGAGCAAGAAACGGGTGAAGAAAGTAAAAAATCATATCTTTGGTGATTTAAGGAACTGGTGGCATGGATAACTGAAACAATGGTATATTGTGCAGCACAAGTAGATGGCACGCACCGTCGGTTGTGGAATCAGTAGAGGTGTGAGTATGGGATGTTGGAGTCACATCCCTGGTTGTTGAATCAGAAGCGGTGTGAGTGTGGTGCTTTCGAGTCACATCCCTGGTTGTTGAATCAGAAGCGGTGGGAGTGCTGGATGTTGGAGTGGTGGACGATGAAGGGTCTGTCGGAAAAGAGGTGGAATTGAGGTCTGGCATTTTGAAAACAGTTTCTGTTTTGGTACAAACTGTAAACCATTTAAAAAGCAAAGTCATACAACTATTCCATAGTTCCCTGGAACCAATATTACACACATGAAATAGTAAAGGCAGTGGTTGATCAATATAATTGATAATTACCACAGTTCATGGCTCCATTTTCACAGCGGCTGAAAATAATTAAGTAGGAAAGTGAGAAACAACATCCAGTTGTCAACATAATGAGTAATGAAATTATTACAATGGAAATACTGTATATTTATGTATTTTGAAACAGTCTATATATATATATATATATTTATTAAGAATGACCCCAATCGAATAATGTTAATCTTTTAAAAAAAAACAGAAATGGCAAAAAAATAATTGCCCAACTTACCATAACACATTCTGTATTACTACCACTGCCTGAGGTTCAATGATACTGCCATTCAAGTAACAGGTGCAGTTTCCTAAACTGGTGCATCCACCAGTGTTTTCATCATAGTGTGGCTTCTTCTCTGTACATCTTGGATAGCAGCCTTTTCCAAAAATAAACAAAATGTGTCTGAATATGAGTGCTATTGTTATCTTATGCTTTGAGTAGAAAAAAAACCTTTGATTTGATCTAGATTGTGATGGTTGTTCGTAGAAATAAAATGTTTTCAGTTTGCATCTTACCATGAATAAGAATTAAATGTGGTTAATTGTATACAAATGGGAATGTTTGGTTACCTTCCCGCTTGTGAGAGATGTAGTTTTCTTTGCCACAGGCTAGCATCTGACCACAGGCTTCATAGTGCCAGATAGACTGTCCATTCTTGTTGTAGTAGTCACAGTACACCGCTATAGTTTGAATGATCAAGTAAAACTTTTACAGAAATACACTTTTATAGTTTATATTTTCTAAACAGGTAAAATAATAATTATGAAAATTTTCAACAGATTAATTGATTACAAAAGTTGATTACTTTATGTAAGTCTTACACTTTGTCAGGTCTCTGCATAATCACTAAGAAACATGACTAAATTGATAAAACATTATATAATGTTTATGAAGTTTGTAAGATTCTAACAAACTATATAAGGAATTGCTTTTCAGAACTGGCTGGTGCTTACATTATTTTACTGGCTTTAAATGATAAGTTATTAAAACATGTTTAAAAAAAGTGTCTTTTAGAGTAAAGTTCGAGTGTCGTTAGTGAGGGAAAAAAGGTCCTAACTTACGACACATATCAGGTGTCCTCCAATTCACACACACATGCTGCTCGCTGCAGGCCTGTGCGTAGGCAGCCACAGCTGTGCAGAAGCCGAGGAACTTCCCGTCTGACTCACAGGAGCAAGACTCCTGCACACAGGCATCGTAGTAGGGATCTGGATCCTCCTGGGGATTGGAAAACAACCAGGAAGGAGTTTGTATCTACACATTTTAGGGCTATTTGTGAGAATCTTTTTTTGTAAATATGGTTTCATGTTAGGACAGATTGGGATATGGAAATTTATAAAATATTTAGCAGTCTAACACCTGACGTTGTTTGTGCTAAATCTATAACATGCATACTTTTAAGTGGCATTCACTGAATGTTTCTCCTGTAAGGATCAAACAGCGCTGCTGGGCCCAGGCTGCGCAGTAGGAGTTGCGTTCACATGGAAATATATCAGTGGTCACATCAGAGCAAGGAGGTGTTTGGACTTTCCAGCAGTTGCCAAATGCCATTGGACTGGACACTAGAAAACATATTTGTTGGGTGTTAAGTCGACCACCAAAAAATGTAAAAGTCCTTTATGAAACAACAAACATAGAAAACACCTCTACCTGATGAACCACTTATACTTAGGTCATTCATCTCATTGGAGTCAAAATTCCCACAGAGGCCACACACTCGGTTCTGTAGGAGAGATGGTTAGAAAGTAAATGTGGAAGTTCTGAAAAAGTACCAAACAAAATTTAAGTAACTGCTGGAGTCTTGATTCTTCCGTAATTCCGATTCATAGTCAGTTAGATATAAATTTGAGTTGATTTGTGCTAAATAACCGCAGAAGAAGACATTGAGTAACCGTATAAAATGTTGGTTTAAAATTCAATTCAGTCTTTAGAAGTGTCCCCCACCCATTTTATTATTTTGTCTAATCAAATGCATCAAACTGATGTAAATGAATGGCTAGGTTTTAAAATCCTCTTCACTCACCTTCCACAAACCCGCCAGCTCTACGGTGATCCGGGTGTGTTTGTCCCAGATGAGAGTTATCCCTTTGCTTGGCACTGAGATTACAATGTAAAGTCCCAAAGTGTGTATTGAGTAAAGTGAATCATCCTGCCCAGTCCAGCCTTCATGGAGGCATCTGGTCACCTGCA